AGAGATGGTAATCCAGCGCAGGACAAAATCAGATAACTTCATTTTCCCGCTACAACGAAACATTTAAGCGAAAAAGATATTTTATTCTTTTGTTACGCGCTTTTGAAGTTATGGCGCCCCTATTGAATTACTTTTTTCTTTCTTGTTTACTTGTCATCCGCAGAAAAATAATGTTTCATCTTAATTTGGAATGTTTGTTTTTAATTTTCTCAGCGGCGGAGGTGATTGTTTTTAATACGACACTAAGCCCTCGTGCGTATGGGCGACGGATTACCGAGGGGATATAGAATATAATAAATATACTTAAAAAAAAAATAATTATTATTATAAAATGTAAGGTTACCAACGCATTTTTTTTTATGGATGAAAATGGAATGGTAACCCCGCCTGCGCTAATGGGATACGCTGGCAGAGCATCAGTGAAGGGTGATAGATGAGAATGAAAATAGGCCAGTTAGCCCATCATGATGAATTCATCAGGAATTAACGATGATAGTTTCCAGGGGAAACCGCGAGGAGGTCGACCTGGTTGGGTATATTGCTAGCAATGGGATTCTGTCTCCATTACTAACAATACCTTTACCTAATACCGGGGAGGGGGGCGGGGTTACCAACGCATTGAAAAAATATTGTTAAGGTATTATAATAAAACAGAAAAGATAGAAATTCGCAAGTACAGTATAGCTCATCATCTTCATCATCATCATCACTTTTGATCTCTATCGTTGTTTATTTGCGGTATTATATATCTAATATATAAAATTCTCGTGTCGTGGTGTTTGTTACCAAACTCCTCCGAAACGACTTCACCGATTTTTATGAAATTCTGTGTGCATATCGGGTAGGTCTGAGAATCGGATAATAAGGGTGATCCACCTCTAAATATATATTTTTTTATTTTTTTGACAAAATTGTTTATTTTTATTTTATTATGATTTAGCATTGAAAAATACGTACAGCTTCGAATTTTCACCTTTTCACGATCAACCCCTGTTTTTTAATAGCGTTTTTTATATTCTACGATAGGATTGCAAGATGACAATCGAATATAATGATTGTAGTACGATAAATTTTCATGTATAGTTCTCGAAATAATGTATTTGGTAAAACAACGTTTGCCGAGTCAGCTAGTAATCTACAAGTATGTATGTATATTAATATTTGTAAGTATGTTTTAATAACATATATTTGTATATTTATGCAATATTTGTTTTATGTATCCATGTATGTGTATTTATTTAATCATAACGTGAAATAGTTCTCCATTGTATGTGTTGTGATACTTAAATATAATAACTGCATAATAAAATTTCTGTTTAGCCAAAGGTTGACTGGGAGAGAATGCTATATAGTATTAAGTCCGCCTTTTGTACTAGTAATTTTTTTGTAATATGGTCAATAAAAAATAAATAAATAAAAAGTACGTTGAGAATTGTTACTCTCATTAGCTCTCCATTGCTAACAATATATTGTAAGCAATGGAGCTAATAAACTATCAAACGGAGTATATAACTCCGTTTGACTGGGGGGAAAGGGATTGTTAGTAATGGAAATTGAAAATCCCATTGCTAGCAATATACCCAACCAGGTCGACTTCCTCGCAGTTCCACCCGGAAACTATCACGGTTAATTCCTAATGAATTCATCATGATTGGCTAACTGGCCTGTTTTCATTCTCATCTTTCATCCTTCACTGGTGCCCCGCCAGCGTATCCCGTTAGCGCAGGCGGGGTTACCATACCATTTTCACCCATCAAAAAAAAAACTTCGTTTGACTTCCATATACCTCTATTTGACTACAAATTTGTCATGATAGGTCAACTGACTTGATTTCATGTTCACTTCATCACCTATTGTTCCCCACTAGTACCTAGCTAGCATATAAACAGCGCAAGCGAGGTTTCTATTCCATTTACTGTTTTAAAAAAAGGCTAGCCTACGATATTATATCACGTCTGCCTTATTCGATAAACTCCCACACACCTCACAGACTGGTGGAAAATACAGCCACGAAAGATCTCGAATAAACTTATTTTTGTGTGTGATATGTTTTTTTTACTATAGTGTTAAATTTGTTGTGGCAAAGGAAACACTTTTGTAAACTATTTGTGATAGCTCTTATTTACCTATTATTTGTATAATCCAATTTTGTATTAATACTGTCAAATTAGCTATTATAATCTTTTCTTATTTGCTATATGTGTGAGTTATATTCCAAGGCTTCTCGTGTCCTAGGTTTCATAATGCGTACGTAATTCTATAGAGTTTACTAATATTAGGACGCTAAAAATACTGTATTGTTACCAGAGGGAGACTTTGTACAAAAGTCGTTTGCTTGAGCACCTCTGTCCCATTCGTGTTTCATCCGTAAAGTGGTTGTATTTGCATGGCTGCGTTTCAGTTTGAGGGGTGGGGATATGACGTGAATTTACTGGGTACAGAGGAATAACACCTGAGTCCTCAGGAATGGCAACGCATGGGGGATATCATGGGCGAAACCGTATACTCTGTTATGTCCATGGTACTGCTCATGTCTATAGGCGACGGTTACCACTTTTCATCAGGTGGGCCGTCAGCTTGTTTGTCATTCTAAGTTGTATAAAAAAAAAGGGATCTCTTACAGTGAACCTTTGAGAAGCTGACAGAAAGCTGTAGAATGTACAAGGGTAATAACCGTACAGCTAAACTAAAAAATATCCAGTAAAAAATTGAATATATGATAAAATTAATGTATTTTATTTGAAGTATGTTAACTGCCTATCTCGAGCTCATTCTTTGTTAATTCTATTTTTAACTACCTAATATAAAGTTGTAATTTATCTTCCCAAATATGAAACTTTAAACTTATCTAATTTGAAAGTTTAGTGTAATCATAAATAAGGTACTCGCGGCAAAGAAGAGCCGGCGTTTTAGAAGCGCAACTATTACAAAATTACACTTGTAAAATGTTTTCCTTTACTACAGTCATGAAGACATATAAATGACTAATCATCAACAGTTTAATCATATCAGATTTTAACCATCCACTGTTGAACATAAGCCTCCTCATTGGGGGGTTTTGACAGTAGATGTCTTGCTTTTTTTTATACAACTTAGAATGGCAAACAAGCTGACGGTCCACCTGATGGAAAGTGGTAACCGTCGCCTATAGACACGAGCATAACAGAGTATACTGTTTCACCCATGATACCCCCCATGTGTTGCCATTCCTGAGGACTCAATGTTATTCCTCTGTACCCTGTAAATTCACGCCATATCCGACCCTTCAAGCCGAAACACAGCCATGCAAACACAACTGTTTCACGATAGAAACACGAACGGGACAGAGGTGACCAAGCAATCGCCTTTTGTACAAAGTCTCCCTCTATAGTAGTACAAAGTGTCCCTCGTAAAGATCATCATAGGATGTTCGTTTATATTTTGTCGCTGTATCCAATGGCTATATTTACATCGGTGTGGTGAAATCGTCGAGAAATTTTATTGTTGCCGTTCCGTCGAAATGCGATATTTAAAGGGCGAACAGTAACGGCAAATTGATATTGACGACTTTTATATTATTATTCTCATAATTTTCCCGCCATTTTTATTGTCGTCTGATATTACTCGTCGATGGCGAAATTGCTTTTTTTTTCTCACTATTACAGATTTCAAATGACTGTACTTATTTCGTTTTATTGCTTACGTTTATTTGTGGCTCCATGAATGCCATTTATTTAAATGAGATTTGAATTTATGAATTTCTAATTTACTGGATTTCTTTTTTTTTTGTATTTCTTTAAATATTAACAAGTTTTAGTGGAGTTTTTGAAATTAATATTTAATAGATTTAACCGATTTCTACATAAAGGAGGAAAGTTCTCAATTCGTCGCTAATTCTATATCTTCGTTATCTCGTTTTGGCTTTACGCAAATTTGGTAAGAATAAAAATTGTTTTAACAAAAAGAAGTTTTATTTATTTATTTATTTATTCATCAGTACAAATATGTGTACATGGCGGACTTAATGCTAAAAGCATTCTCTCCCAGTCAACCATAGGGAAGTGTCAGAATACTCGAATGTGGTACTAGTAATTATTGATATACATACATACTAAAATTACATATATAAGATATACTATATTATACACGAAGATGACAATAATATATAGTACTTTACCTCCGACTTTATCCGCGTGACCGGGATATGTCACGGACCGGGATAAAATGTAGCCTAGTCTTTGTCTATCCTATGTCTTTCTTTATCCTATGTACTTAGTAGTGTATACCAAATTTCATAGTTATTGATTCGGCCGTAACATGAGTATATAAATTAAATTGTGTTCCAAAAATAAAAAAAAAACTGACTTCAATTGTAGCAAAACTAGTTATTTTCATTTCAAAAATCTTCTTCTTCGTCTCTCTGTGAGACCAAACTATAAGTATATCCATTTAAATTAAAAAAAAAAAGAATTTTCCAAATCGGTTTACGACTGACAGAATTATGAGGAAAAAAAGTTTAAAAAAATATAACCGAATCGAGAACCTTCTTCATTTTGTAGTCGGTTGAAACTATTATTAAAAAAAAATAAAAAATAAAACAATTAAATAAAAAGTAATTTCTGAATAAATAGGAGAAAATAATATTTTGTGTATATGTAATACACGTATGTATGAAAGTTCTGTCGCAATATCTATTTAGTATATACTTTCGAGTCACAATTATCATCGTTGTCAAGTTCATTGTAACTTATTTAACACATTTAGTGACATTTGATTACAGAAAGCGATGTAACTTTCAACTGTCAGACTGTTTCACGTTAGGTCACGAATTCAGTATGTTACGAATATTGCTCATAATATCATACTGTAGGGAACAGAAAACATCGAAATAATATTATCAATCTTAAAAAAAAAAAAGTTTAAAAAAAGAAAAAAAGGTCTCTATTTTATGGCTGACTAAACTTGATTCCTTTGTCTGGAATTCAAAGTGACGTAAAAGTAAAAAAGAAAAAAAAATAAAAATGTGTTCCAGAACTGTTATAGTTTTGTTTTTATTATCTGTGGCATTTGTTTTCACAATAGCTGAACAAAATGATATAGAAGCCAGAGGGAAGAAAAAGAAAATAGCATTATTTGGTAAGTTATTATATAAATTATCCATTGTAATCAGATAACATTAAAGTTATATATAGAAATATTTAAGTTATATTTAGAAATATAATTATTTATTTATTTATTTATTTATTTAACACTTTATTGCACCAACATAACATGATTTGTTAAAACAATTTTCAATACGTATAGTGTAGTACCAAAGGCGGTCTTATTGCTAAGCAATCTCTTCCAGACAACCTTTGGGTAGAAAGGATTAAAGCATAAGTAGGTAGGTGGCGCGTTAATTATGAAATTATGAATTTATTTGTTTAGAAACAATAAGAAACAGCAATAAAATTTATTTTTTAGATTAATTTACTTGATATATATATATTTTTTATAATAAATAAGTAGAGTTACGGGATACAGTTACTCTAATGCAGTGTTTTCCAACATTTTTTGTGCCATGCCTCACTTGAATATTTTTAAAATTTTTATGCCCCCATACATAATTTTTCCCGACAAAGTTTACTCGACGACTCTTATTGCTCAGTTGATATTTTGGTAACGTCAAACGAAATTATACCTAATAAATATGTACAGCAATTTTTTTAATTTACTTTTTTTTGTTAAATTTGGCACCGTTAATTACTCGTAGCATTGCATTTAAATGGCCTGGAGCAAGAGCATTAACATGCTTCGAGTCCATTTTTCAATTGCCTCCCGTTAACTATCAAATTGCCCACCTGTGGGGCGTGGGCCCCACGTTGGGAAACACCGCTCTAATGTCATAGGTATGTTACTATTTATAGCCACAATACCCATACATATGTAAAAATATGTATATAAACGAAAAAGTGTAACTGTTAAGTTTCTTACGGGTTCTACCCGGCATATAAGAACATTCCGAGCTCAGCTGTAGAATCTTTAAAATGATTTAAAAGTGCTGTAAATAAGTCTATTTGAATGCAGATGATTTTTATTCTAAATAAAGTACATGCGTAGAATCTACTCGTATACAAGTTTTCAACAACTCCCTATTGATTACTTTTTTTTCATAATAATTATAATTTAAACCCCTTGGGGGGAAAGGGATTGTTAGTAATGGAGACTGAGAATCCCATTGCTAGCAATATATCCAACCGGGTCGACCTTCTCGCGGTTCTTCCTGGAAACTATCATGGTTAATTCATCATGATGGGCTAACTGGCCTGTTTTCATTCTCATCTATCACCCTTCACTGGTGCTCCGCTAGCGTATCCCGTTAGTGCAGGCGGGGTTACCATACCATTTTCACCCATCAAAAAAAAGCTAAACCCCTTATTCCTAAAAACTAAAACGCCCTGTAAATCTATATTAGCTGTTAGTATTGTCACTGTCTTTCAAATTGAAAAAATTGTACAAAAGTAAAGGACAAAACATATCAATAATTACATAATATATAAATAATAGCATTCTGAACTGGATGGTGGATTAAAAAAAAAACACTACAAATGTTTATAATTAGGTCTAATTGATAAAACATATTTCTATAATTTTATTATAATTATTATGTGTTAATGTATAATTTTTTTTATGACAATAATAATATAAAGATAGTTCCTCACATTGAAAATTGTCCAAATAGTCGTGTGTTCAAAATCGGGTGACAATATTGCTTTTTCTGAGTTTCTATGGGACTCGCGTAATTTTAGCGCTATCGGAAATTTGTCTTATATTATATTCTTTTGTCACAATAACGATATATTACAGCATGTTATCTGACCAAGGCCACATATTGGACACGTATTTGGCTTTGGATCTGGATTTATTAAGATGGTCGCGTCTACAGAGCAAGTAATCACTACGTGTCGCGTCCGTTATAAGTTGTTCGATTTAGGGCCGCATTACTTTGAATAAAAAACGTCTGTATGAAATCTGTGCAACCAATTAAAACTGCGAAATATATAACTATGTAACTATAATACATCAGGAGAAAGTAATTATTATATATATACATACCTTCATTATATTATATTATAGTTGTCAATAGCGTAGTCGCGGTTACAATTCCATTTTCACTTATAAAAAACTGATATAATTTTTGATACTTACTGCTATTATTGAATGAATGAAAGAATGAGTATACTTTATATGCATTATACGTTATAGGAAATAAGCGAGACAATTTACAAACAACAATACAATTGTATAAGTACAGTAAGACGGTCTTATTGCTGAGAGCAATCTTTTTAGATTTTAAATTCTAAATAATATATATAATATATATATATTATATATTTTGGCGCTAGGTGGTTGCATAGATTAATCTTCTAGTTTTATCAATATAGAGTTAGTACCGACTCTTAAATAATTTAACGATGACTTTCTCTATGGTTCAATTATGATCTATATTTCATCCTCGCGTGCCGAAGGTCAAGGACCTTCTTTCAATGCGTGCGTTCACTCGTGACAAATTTTCAACATGTAACATGTATACAACGAATTTCGCCGCGTTCGTAAATCGTGAAAACCGGCACTGTATTTTTGCCGTGATGCTAACGGTCTGTACGTATTTTTGTCAGATTTATGCTAAAGTTTTCTGATATATTGTTACGTTTGGAGCATTTATAATACCTACCTAATGGCAAGATTTTTTTTGATATAATTTGGATTACCTTTTAAGGTAAAAATATAAATACTTTGTAAGATATTTACAAAAGTATTACATATTACCCGACTTCATAAAATATCAATATCGGTTAAGTACACTATATGTCTTAATTGGTAGATACATTAATTATATATTATAATATTTTATATCTGTGGTGGTGTAGTGGTTTAACACATCGCCTCACTGCTGGTTGTGGGTTCGATTCCCGTACAATACAAACATTTGTAGTTATGTGTATACTTATTTGTATTGGTCTGGGTGTTTTCTATTAATAAATATATATATGTACATATAATAAAATCGTAACTGGTTACTGTCTGTACATAGAAATATAAAACGTATGTAGAAACCGACTTGGCATAATATTGGACATGTCGCTGTGTAATACAGCGGTGGGAAGCGATTATTATTAGTGATGCGAACTACCAGTCCCATGGCTAGCAATATATCCTGTCAGGTCGACCTCCACGTGGTTCGCCCTGGTAACCATCGTGCTGATTTCCAGGTGTATTCATCTCAATGGGCTAACTGACCTGCCTTTTCATTTCACCTATCATCCCTCACTGGTGCCTCAGCGTAAACCGCTAACACAGGGGGTTCATTCCAATGTTTTTTTATACAACTTAGAATGACAAACAAGCTGACGGCCCACCTAATGGAAAGTGTTAACCGTCGCCTATAGACACGAGCATAACAGAGTATACTGTTTCGCCCATGATACCCCCATGCGTTGCCATTTCTGAGGACTCAGGTGTTATGCCTTTGTACCCTGTAAATTCACGCCATATCCAACCCTTCAAACTGAAACACAGCCATGCAAACACAACTGCTTCTCGGTAGAAACACGAATGGGACAGAGGTGCCCAAGCAAACAACTTTTGTACAAAGTCTCCGTCTGGTCGAGTGTTATCTATTAAAAAAAATACTCGACAGTATTATCGCCGCAATCAACATAGTTCGCTTATGCGGACAAAGTCGCGGGTTAAAGCTATTGTAATATATATTTCTACAAAGACAAATCATGCTCGCGAAAGTTCCACGGGTATGCATGTAATGTAGTGGAAATATCACTTGTACGCTGAGTTTAGTATCCACAGTTTATTGCATAAACCTTCCCGTAATGTTTCTGTTTGGGGCACTAAAGATAAAAAATACGGGCCTGCATTACGCATTTGGGGAATAGAATGACAGATACGGCTGTATGAGCATAGCTCCCTGGATAAAAAAAGATAGGGAAACTTTTGTAGGACGTGTCACGACGTACACTCTTTTGTCTATGTACACTTTTTACCTAAAATTGATTTGTTGTTATTGAAAATTAGTTTTTTGTGTTTTTTTTTTGTTATGGAAAACTTATATGTTAATCATCTAATTTCTTTCTAATTTATTATATCTATTAAAACAAGACAGATGTTGTCCTGCTTGTGTTAATTTATTATTATTTCATATATGTATTGTATTGTATGTGATTTATGTATGTAAATTTTTTGTAAGTATCTTATTCTATATGTTTGTATGTTCATCTTAAATTGTTAAAATGTGTTACAATAAAGTAACATATTTTGAGAACTAACAACAACAATACAAGTAAAATATTTTGAGAACTAACAATAATACAAGTAAAATATTTTGAGAACTAATAACAACAATACAAGTAAAATAATTTGAGAACTAACAACAACAATACAAGCAAATTATTTTGAGAACTAACAACAACAATACAAGTAAAAAATTTTGAGAACTAACAATAATACAAATAAAATATTTTGAGAACTAATAACAACAATACAAGTAAAATAATTTGAGAACTAACAACAACAATACAAGCAAATTATTTTGAGAACTAACAACAACAATACAAGTAAAATATTTTGAGAACTAACAACATGATGTTTTCTCTCAAAATATTTATTTCTTTTACAAATTGTTTTTGTTAAATCTATGCACCGCCATTTGCTCTCTCCGTTTAGCGTAACAATTGACTGGTAGGGAATGTCATCAGGCATTAAGTCCGCCCTGTAGACATATTTTAATGTGTGTAAAAGTATAAATAAATAAAATTGAAGTCGGTTTTTTATGGGCCAAATTGTAAATGATTTTATTTTGTTCCAGTATACTTCGCAGACTTGGTCATAAAGAAGATTTTCATATTGAAACTGATATACGCGTTCGTGTTTTGGGTGGTGTTGCACAAGGCTGGCTACTTCCTCGGATGGTTCGCGAGCTACCTCAAGGAGAAGAAGGAGGACGACCACCATCATTACGGCCATCATCATCACTACGAACCGCCTTATGTCCCTTACAGAAGGAAAGCTGAACCCTATGTATATAGTACGATAAATAATAGTGAAATTTAAATAGTACAGTTTTCTACTACAATTAATACTTTTTTTTATACAACTTAGAATGGCAAACAAGCTGACGGCCCACCTGATGGAAAGTGGTAACCGTCGCCTATAGACATGAGCAGTACCACGGACATAACAGAGTATACTGTTTCGCCCATGATACCCCCCACGCGTTGCCATTCCTGAGGACTCAGATGTTATTCCTCCGTACCCTGTAAATTCGTACGCCATATCCCACCCTTCAAACCGAAACACAGCCATGCAAACACAACTGCTTCACGGTAGAAACAAGAATGGGACAGAGGTATCCAAGCAATCGACTTTTGTACAAAGTCTCCTTCTGGTAAATATTACATTATTATAATTTATATCAGATAAAAAGGTACAAAAGGCGAGTTTAACTCTGTAAGAGTTCTCTTCCAGCAAACCTTGAGTGGAAAGGAGTATAAATGACCAGCACGCAGTGTGCGTACAATGAGAAGTGGAAACAGTATGGTACTAGTAGTTACTATTATTAAATTATATATGTTAATACCTTTTTTATATTATTCGAACATAGTATAGAAATTTAAATGTAATCTGGTTTAAGATAAACATAGGTAATTAGTTGTAATTTTAAGGTAAAATATCGTTTTAAGGCTCTTGTACACCATGCTATTAGAATACATTTGATAATTGCTATTTAAATGTATAAATTAAATATATTCAGATTAGGTATATAATAATTCCAAATACATTTATTATCCATTTACACGCTCCTTTACTAAAAACGTGCCTTTTACAGTAAAATAAAAGGTCTGATGTTTTAAAATTTATTTTAAAATCATCAACATCATATCAGGCTTTAACTGTCCACTGCTGAACATAAGCTTCTTCTTTGGGTGAGGTTTTGCCAGCAGTTGTCATGCTTGGCAGGCGAATTTGCAACTGCAGTTAGGCTTTAGAATTGTTTTAAGAGGGACGCTGCTGACCATCCCTCGCCTACCCTTAGTTGCCTCTTACGTCACCCACGGGAGAGGAAGGGGTGGCCTATTCTATGCCGGAACCATACGGCAAGTACAGCAAATATTTTAAAATGTTGTATAGGAATTAAAGATATTTCAGTAAGACCACCACATCTTTTGTTGTTTATTTTAAAAATAATTATTTTAGACAGTTCTAATTTCTAATAATGATATAATATCTATTTATACTCCTTTCTTAAAGGCGAGGCCTTTTGCAGTAGCATAAAACGTTTATTTTTAAATAAATTTGAATTTGGAATTAAAAACTAATGTTGTGATCGTTTGTTATTTATTTTAAAAACAATTATTTTTGACAGTTTTAATTACTGTAATCTAAGAACAAGGACTTACATAGAAGGAATGATAAAATAAAAACTGTAAATCTACTGGTTACCTCCTTTCTTCTTATGCAAATATAATCAGTAAAAAGAGGACGAAAGATACACCATCAGTTGTAATTTTTCTCAATTATTGGCATGCTAGTGTATAAAAAATGTTTGATATGTCAATTATTTGTCAATGACAAATTTTACCTTACTAGATTATATATTGGACACAGTTTATGTAGAAAGTATGCAAGCAGGTTGTATCTGAATTTGGTAGGGTTATACGGCCATATAACATTTTCTATACATTGGCCTGCTATGAATTGACAATTTTATCATTCCTATATAATTTCTTGTTTTTAGATTGTAACAGATATATTGCGAGCCAAGCATCATTGAGTCGAATATCAATCTAAACAAACGTCAAAACCAATCTCGGTAGATATGAGATGCTCGTATCAGCATGGAATGTCTGAAACAGATGCCCAGACTTGATATACACTGGAGAGTTAGTGATCTTAAATTATCCCATGAGAATTGCCCTGTAAATTTGAGATTTATTTAAGTTTATTTGACATGATCAGACCCGTTTTTAAACGATTTCAATAAAGGAGGAGATTATGTGTTTGATTGCATATTTTTATTTTTGCCATTCGCGTTTTTAGGATTCTTTTCTAAGGCAAGGTGCATATGTACTCTGTCTTTGTGAAACTCCGTTTGCATCCTGGAGTGGTCATCAGGTAATTATGGGTTAGGCACGGACCCTTTAGCCCTTACACATAACCTTATTTGTGCTTTTGTTACATTTAAAACAGAAAATAAAATAAGTATTAGTTTTTATTGTTATGGTAACTAAAAAATATATGATAAGTAAAGATATATTTAAATTACATTTATTATATAAGTAGGTAGGTATTATATTTATTTATAGTGTATGTATTTATGTAATATATTATTATATATTTTAATATTTCATTTAACTGTATATTTGTTTATGTACTCTAAATATTAATAGTTGTAGCACATCAGCTACCCGCTAACAAAATGCTTTCTAACTGTATTGGGTTGATTGGAAGAGATCTCTGTCAGAAATAAGTCCACCCTTGTTAACAACATTTAAAAATGCATTATATTACATGTAATTTACAAATGTAATAAAGAATATATAATTAAAAATGTATAAAAAAATTTATTCAATTTTTAAGCATTAATGTGAAAAAATATATAGATAACAATCACCAATATAAAATTTATTTCTTGTAAAGACTTGTGATCTTTTGGGGGAGAAGGAATCGTTAGTAATGGGGATAAACAATCTTATTGTTAGCAATATACCTTATCAGGTCGACCTCCATGCGGTTCCTCCTGTAAAACATCGAGATTGATTTATTGTTGAATCCGTCACGTTATGCCAACTGACCTGCTTCATCTTCATCTACCATTTCTCACTGGTGCCCCGCCAGCGTATACCGATAGCGCGGGCGGAGTCACTATTCAATTATTGAGCCATTAAAAAAATATTTGATGTTACAAATTTGTTTTCTTAATCATTACGCTTCGAGTTGGGACCCGTATATATAAAATTATGTGAACATTTACTGTGAAAAGTCCCCTGAGGTTGTTTTGGCAGCACTTGCCTGAGAACGCTGGCCAAAGGTCGTACCGTTTAGCCGGTCTAAACGCTCCTTGCCAAATTTTTGATAAGGGAATCTTACGAGCAGTTCAGTGAGAGCGGAAATATTAACGGAATACATAAATATAATTATTAATTAACAGCAATATGATTATACGTTATTAAACGCAGCATAAGGCGAATGTAAAGGGAGGGAGTAAACTTCTTAGGAACGTTGTTATATTATAAACGGGGCGGTAGAGGCGTATTAAAATAATTAGTTTGAGGACTAATTGAATTTTCGTTAATTTTAGACTTGTTAGATTTGTTTATTTGCCACAACATCGTTTTTACAGATATTGATTCTATTGTGAAGTACAAATGTTCGCCTTATATATTAAAGCATGCAAAATTATTATTGGGTACAAGATATATTACATTTAACACATACGTAATAAGTGAATTAACATTACATTAACTATTTATTCAATTAATAATAATAAAATTATAATAGTATGTTAAAAAATCAATAAATAACAAATTTTTTAAAGTTTTTTTTATACAACTTAAAATGGCAAACAAGCTGACGGCTCACCTGATGAAAAGTGGTAACCGTCGCCTATAGATACGAGCAGTATCATGGACATAACAGAGTATACTGTTTCGCCCATGATACCCCCCATGCGTTGCCATTCCTGAGGACTCGGGTGTTATTCCTCCGTACCCAGTAATAAAATGATGGTACGATTTTATAGTGCTAAACTTTATCGGCGACTCAGTGTTGCCTGAAGTTAATTTAGATTTCTAACTAAAACGTAAAATATTTTTTCACCAAATTGATGATATGATTTTTAAGATTTTTTGCCATATGACAAAGTTGTATCGTTTTTCCATTTCGCTTTGTCATGTATCACAAAATGAACAAAAACAAAAAAATAAATAAATAAAGGATTCTGTACCTTTTGTATTATTTATTTATTCTTTATTGTACACAAAAAATTACAAACATATTATATGTCTATATACTTATAATAAATCTGTAGAGAGGTCAATTCTGTACATGAAATATATTTCCAAAATAACTATCAGGGGGCGATTAGTGATCGATACTGATGCCAAAAATGCAATCAGTAAAATTTTTGTGTGTCTGTCTGTATGATCGTTATAGAAACAAAAACTACTCGACGGATTTTAACGAAACTTGGTACAATTATTCTTCATACTCCTGGGTTATAGTATACATTTCATCAAGCTACGATCAATAAGAGCAGAGCAGTGAAGGGAAATGTTGGGAAAACGGGAGAAGTTATCCCATTTTTAAAATTCCGTCGCGTGTGCAACTTTAATGGTCACTTTTTATTATGTAAAAATGTCCACCCGTGCGACGCCGGGATAGGCCGCTAGTTTTAAATAAAGATGTACAACAGGCAAGCTTAACTCTGTAAGAGTTCTCTACCAGCAAATCCTCTTCCTCTCCTTCTGTATCTACTTTTCATCAAGTGCTAATTATTACCCAAAATTATTCCAATTACTATACCCATTCTACTTCTCTGCATAAATTTTACAAAGAATTTAATTTTTCAAAAAATTCGTGAATAGAAACATTTCTTTTTTTTTTTTAAATTACGTAAAATTACCCTGGCAACGAAGTTTCACAGTCCTTAAGAGTTTAGCTCAGGGGTTCTCAAACTTCTTTGAGGAATGTTTATAGGCGACGGTTACCACTTTCCATCAGGTGGACCGTCAGCTTCTTTGCCATTCTAAGTTGTATAAAAAAAAATTCTTATATCTCCCACGTACAGACGTGGTCGTTACAATTGTACTATATCAGTAAAATACGCCTAAACACCGTTTACGCCGCAATTTCACTGGTACACCCATTTTACAATGATATTAGCCGGTACTCGAGTGTGAGCAGTTAGAATTTTACTTCATATACGACTCGACACTTACAATTGTACGCTTATTTCGTGGTCTCATTACGACGAACGACTGTAAGCGGTATTTGAACAGTCGGATACAGCCATTTTTATAACAATAACCATACCCTTAAATTTTGACCTTGACCTTCTTACGTATTACGTATTTTTATGACATAAGGGGC